GCTGGATTCTTAAAGAGCAGGCCCAATATTATATCTCCTTGCTGAATTTTAAGCAGGGCAGGCTCCAGCCCAAATACAATTAAGTATCACAAAAATCTTCCTCCTATTTTATGCATTTAATATGGAGAAAATGATTTTACTATTAAAAAAAAAAGTTTTACTACTATTATTGTTGCCACCACCATTGTGGCGGATTAGGATCCTCGAGGTGGTGAAGACCTTAATGGAGGGTGAAAATCCCCCGAGGTTACTAATAATACATTATTATCAATGCCGGTTAAAACCCCCAAAGTGGTGCAACCGAACTTTCACCTTCCGAACATCTTTATTTGATTATTCGAGTTATATTCGGTTCTCTTGACCTACCCCGGTCATCTTTATTTGATGACCCGGGCATCTACAATGAGAGCCATCATCGGGCGCACACAGCATTATGCCTAAAAGCGGTAAACGATACACCTCATTCCCCTAGACGCTAATTGCGTCATCTAGAAGCCGTTGCAATAGACAACGCAATCCAAAGTCGTTGCAATAGACAACACAACCTAAAGTCGTGGCCCTGAACATCCTGAGACCGAGCATGCCGAGGCTGAGCATGTTGAGGTAGAAATGTCCCAAGGAAACCTAACCTAACATCTGGAGGTTGAACGTCTCTAGAAATAGGCCGAGGATAGTCGCTATATGACGACTCTGAGGACTGCTACCGGGTCGTGAATCAAAAGCAAAGACACATCTAGGCCGAGTTTCTAGGGGTCAAACGTCCAAAGGAAGTCGAGTCGGGCATCTTTGGGCCGAACGCCCCAATCCCTCGCACCTAGGCCAAGGCATTGTGAAGCCTTGCTCCGAAGACTGAGGTTGTGTGTATCGAGACTCCTTGAAGACACATATTCAAGGAAGGGCGCCGACAAGAGTATACTTTCTGGAGCAGATTCGCCCGCTCACTACTCAAGAAACCGGGGACTTGTGTTGAGGTATATATTATCCTGGTACGTTACTGTTCAGGAGCCCGAGACTGTACGTAGTACGGAGCCCGATCAGTGAGGCCCGTTTTAGCCTTTCAGGGTTGTTTCGGCCTTTGGGCCCATTTCAGCCCACTTGGCCCATTAGGTTAGATTCCCCCCCTTTCCCTTACCCTTATAAATATGGGGCTTTCCCACATGTTTAGGGATCCTCTTTTAGCTTCTTCTTCCTTATTTTCTCTCAAGCTAGCTCAATACTCCATTAATGGGAGATCAAATTGTACTATGTAATGGTGAGGAGAGTCCTAATGAGAAAGAGAGGGCTTGGACATTAGCCTAAAAAGTCCCGTGGTTTTCTCCCTTTCGGGTTTCCACGTAAAAACAGTGCATTCATACCATATTATATCTATATTTACTATATCGTGTTGGATTAAACTCAACAATAGAACTTAGGGGGAAATATGAAAATAAAAGGATACACCCTAAATAAAATAAATAAGACAAAAGAGAGTTTACTAACACATGTAGCTTAGTTGGTTCAGTGGTGGAAAAGAAACGGAGGAATGACCAAAGATCAAAATCTGCAGCAGCTAGATTGGACCTCCGGTGCATACGAGTATAATGGATTAGTGGTTGAATGCATCATCGTGATTTATACCCTCACGGCCCTCACATATGTCATGTCGGGTCGGTACATGAAGGTTTTTGAGGTTGGAGATTCAACCTTTTTGGAATAATAAGATAAGCGGAAAATTTCCTAAATAGAACTATAGAAGTAAAAAAGGTTTAAAATTCTAAAATACAACTTTCATGTGTTTATTTTTTTAATATGAGTAATTTCTGCCAAATTTGGCATTATCAAGTTTTAAACATGACAGTTTTTACTAAATTTGGCAGAAATTATTCATCTGTAAAGAATAAAAACATGAGAATCATATTTTAAAAATTCAAAACTTTTTTACTCCTATTTAGATCAATTTGATAAACGAGAGATTAAGAGGCCGTTTGGCAACACTGTTTTTTGGCTTATCATGATTATCAGCCATCTTTTTCACGAAACACGTAACTTTTGCTTTCGCATGCTGAATTGTGTAATAAGCAGAAAAAGTAAGGTTGTAGTTACTTTTTTGGCTATATTGGCTGAAGTTACTGTAGATGATCATTTAAGCTATTTTTACATATAATTTTTCTTTGTTTTATTAATAAACTACATTTTAAAAAAAAAACTTCTTAAATCAGCAGAATCAGCCAATGCAGCCACTTCAACCAGAATTTTATAAAATTTTTAGAAGAATCAGCCAAATCAATCAATTCTTTTTGTTTAGAACAAGTGGTCAAAGTGACGAGCGATGTAGCGCGGAAACTCTCGGAAATAGTACATTTCCTGTTTCGGAAACTCTCGGAAACTTTTTGAAAACTCTCCAAATAAGCCTTTTAGAGCAAACATTGACGTTCCCCGTTTCCCGTTTTCTCGTGATTTTCACGTTTCCGTGCAACTTAGGTGACAAGCCAATAGGGGGAGAGGCAAGCCAAGGTGACGATTGACGAATTGAGAGTCGTGAATGAAGCAGCAGAGGCAAGTTTGGGCTTCTTGAAACCACAGAGACCCAGTTCTTGTGCCAAAGATAGCCCAAATGTGAACAAAACCCATCTGAATTTGTTATTTTCAGCCCATTTGAACCCAACTACCAAAATTAAATACTACGTAATACTCGTATCAAATTAGATAAGGGTAATTCTATTCACACTCCCTAATTTACTAATCACAACCACATAATTAAATATTAATAAATTAATTAAACTCAAATTTCCAAATTTCCCTCTTATTATTATAGCAAAGCCCGCAGGTCGACACCCTTCTTCGGCGACGAACAAACTACCTACTTACTTCACCTTTCACCATTGCGTATTTCAGCAAACTTGTTATTCAATTGAGAATAATTAATAATCTAATCTAATATATCAAAAGACAATAATAAGCAGGCCGTGATGAACTTTATCCCGTAGCATGACTTATTTCAGCAAAGTTCTCATTTGCATCATCATTTCCTTGGTTTTTATCCATTCAGTGCTCAAGTGCTAGTTACCATTTTAAGTGGAGAAGACTAGAAAGGAGCACCTATTTGACCTGCTCTGAAGCACCTTTTGAGATTTGCAGGGTGTTGCCAATCTACATCAATTCCTATTTTTGGATCTAATCTATCTCTGGCAATATAAATATTGTATACTTTATTGGGAGGATAGCCGGGCAGGACTTCAACACACCGGCTTCACCTCTTTTCGTCCCCCATATTCGTTTTTACCTGCTGGTGTGGATCCGTTCGACTGAGATGAGAGGAGGTTTCAGGGCATAATAGGAATTATAAAAAAGAGTATACCTTATCCGAAAATATATGTGTTTGGTTAGCAAATGAGGGGTTGTATATAGAATGGGTGATTAGATAAACACGTTCTTTATCTTTTAAATCAAACACAGCCCAATTTCGACCCTAAGCAAACCCGTTTCGAACCAACCTAGCCCAATTTCGTCCCACCCTACCCATTATAAGTATTCCGTATTAAGGGAGTGTTTGCAATTGCTTCAACTTTAAAAAAGTGATTTTTTAAAGCGATTTTGGGAAAAGTGATTAATAGTAAAAGTTGGCAGTGTTTGAGAAAAAAGTGATTTTGAAAAAGTAAAAGTTGGTAATGTTTGGAAAAAAAATACTTTTTGTGTAATAGAAAAAGTGAAAAGGAGTTTAAAGCACCTTTCTATCTGCTTCCAGCTTTTAGCTTTTAAGTGATTAATTTAAGCAGAAGCTGTCATTTGAAAACACCCTTTTATGCTTTTTTTAAGCCAAAAGCTGAAAAGCGTTTTTTTTAAGCAATCACAAACACTCCTTAAATATCTACCCAACTAACCCTAAGTATAAAAAACCTAACTCTACCAGAGCATCACCCCATTTGAACGGTTCTAATCCAGCGGTCTCTCAACATCTTCCCTGAATCACCTCGCCTGTATGTATTCATAAGTACTGTTCTTCTCCCCTTAATCTATATCTGAATTAATATATTCGATTCGGATATGGTATATATCAGAGGTGTATCATTTGTGTATTGATCCGAACTAGATTCTCACCCGTGCGATGCACGGGGTATTAAAGAGCCGTTAGATAACACTGAAATCGATTTAATTAATAAAATAAAGAAAAAATTATATGTAAAGTAAGTCCAACCTTACTTTTTCTTATTAATACACATTTCGTCACGCGAAATCAAATGTTACGTGTTTGGTGAGAAAATTAGCTGATAAACCTGATAAGTGGAATAACAGTGTTAGTAAGCGGACTTTAAATGTAATAGCGATATGATATTATTTGTAGTAATTATTAGTTCATGTGTAAATGAATGCAAATTGTTATAGACGTAACATGAATAATAAATTATAATTAAAGAAATGATAATGAAGACTCATAGATTGGTAATCATAACAATTAAAAAATTATTATACCAATAATACTATTCATAAATTCTAATTTCAGATATAATAATAAATTAGACCACATAAGGCATAGATTATGGGATTGTTGGTTAAATATATCCTCAATTATTATCAAATTTCGATCTATCAAATATTCTCAATTTCATTAAAAAAACATACTTTATTGTGTCTCACAATTACACTTTCAATGAATGAATTAGTAAAACTTAAGAAGAAAATCATATTTATATTCATATTTTTCGCTTCATTCTAGTTTTTATTTTACAAACTTGTATTGCTTATATCTTATTGATAAAAATGTGTAATTGAAAAAACAAAAAAGAAAAACATAATTGTTGAAAAACATGAAGGTGGAGTTTTTTTTTTATAAAAGTCAAATAATAGGATAAATTTATGAATTTGATGATAATTTGAGATAAAATAAGCTATTAATCCTAAAATATATTATAACATAATTAATATTTCAATAAAATTCGAATTGTTAATAAGACTTCATTAAATATAATAATAATATTTAAGTGCTATTATGTAAAACCCATTAGTAGTCCTATTTTCCGACCCATTGCACATAAAACCCAGCCCAACAACCTAACCTAACCGTTTCTCTCTATTCATGACCCTTCTCATCGTTTTGTTTTGCCGATCTTGTCTTACGGCTGAGCAATAGAGAAGAACATCGGAGTTCGTCTACCGTTTGGCCGGTGGTTTCTTAATCCACCACTACTACGGCGCTACCTTTGTTTATTAAAGGTACATCATGTAGTTAGAACTCATGTATCCTTCGTATAGTGACTTGGATGTAAAAAAGGTACACATGAAGCTGAGTGATAACGGATAGAACTCATGTATAGAACTTATGTCTGCCTTTTAATCCACGACGCTACCTTTTGTATTCATTTGGTACGAAGGCTGAGTGATAACAGATGATCTCAGACCTCATTATTCCTTCTATTTTGAACTTGTATGTGACATGGATTAAGATCTATACGATTTCCCAAAAACCAATTGGATTGTGATAGATCTTCTGTTTTGTTTAGATTTGTTGTTATTTCTTGGCCTGCATGTGTTCTCTATTATGCGATAATGGAATATCAAAACCTGTTTGTACAAAATATTTTCCTTGCATATTTTCCTTCGTTGTTTTTGTTATCCCTTAATTCGTTTTTTTATATACTTCGTATTTTCTACAAAGGCCGAGTTAGATTAACTGATTCAAACTAACAGTTTCAAACTCTGCCTAATAAGATCTATCTGATTTATAAATATTTGGATTAATAGATCTACGAAGGCTAAAGTGATACTCAAGGATATCAAATCTTATTGTTTCTTGTTATGGACTTGGGTCGGACTTGGCTTGATAGATTTTTATTCTCCAAATGTTATACGTTTGGCATAAACAGACCTTGTGATTGTGATATATCTTGATTTTTTTTTTAAATTTATGTTTATACTGGGCTGGAAGGTATCTGGTCTCCTCAAAAATGGACTTACTAACTCATCATTTTTAAGGTGACCGTATTGGTTCACAAGTTTAAAGAGTGGGGTTTATGTCAATCGTTTGCACACGACCAGTGGTACATCTACCATGTCTTGAGATATAACCTCAGGATCTCAGCCCTCTTGTTTTTCTTTGTGGTATATTTGTCATACCTGTTTGTACTTGATTGATCTGAAATTTAATACTTTTAATTAGTTTTTAGTCTTTATCCATTAATTAGTCAAACTTTTTTGGATGTCACCCGAGTTTATAATTCATGATGTATTTATACTATTTAATTATGAGATTCATCAAGTTCTGAAATCAATATATTTATTTGAACGGAGATTAAATTCTATGCCACAATCAGCCACTTATATTTTTACATGGACATACACTCATTGTTCTTTGATTATAGTCTTGTACATGGCCGGGTGTAGTCTTTTGATGATTGCATAAATGTGTTCTCCCTGTTAATACAAACTAATGTTAATCACCAAGTAAAAACTATCACAAAACCATTGTAATAATCAAAGATAAAAATCACCTCTTGTCAAGCAACACCATTTCCAGTATCTGCCCTCCCCTAGCAAAGCACCTTGTAGAGTCTCACCATCTTAACCCTTCAAGACCAATTGGATTTGGTTTTATCAACGCCCTAAACAAAGGCCACATTCCTTATTGATTGATGAACCTACCATTAATTCAAAACATACAGAGTAGTGACTTGTTGGCTGTGGAGATGGTTTGCTACTGTGGCCGAATGGGTATATATACTGGCTGAAGGATGCAAATAATTTTTAACCAATGGGCAATTCATTCTCATCAATCTTTTAATAAGATCTGTAAATCAGATTTAACATTGTGTTCAGATGTAGTACGTAGTACTCGTAGTACTGCGTAATTAAATACTACGATGTGAAAGATCTTTATAGTGTTAAATCAGATGTGTAGTACTGTGTAAGTAATTAAATACTGCGTAATTTGAAAGATCTGTAAATCAGATTTGTGTTATTTGTGCTAAGATCTTTATAAATGTGAATTCATATTTTCGGACATGGTATATATCAGATCTTTGCAGCTTTGAATTCAGTATTTTATTGTGTTCACTATTTTGGTTTCGTCCGCAGATTTGGCATCAAATGCAGATTTTGGTTTCGTCTGCAGATTTTTTGTGTATTTATTCAGATGCATATTAATATTTGAGTTCATATTTTTAATCATATGTGATAAAAATTAGATATGTATCATTTTGTTTACATCTGTCTAGATGTGTATCCTTCTGTATGGGTTTATTTAATTTGAAGTTTCAAATTTGGTTTTCCTCTGTTAGGGATCTCTTTAGGAAAAGAATGGATGCTATTGCTGAACTTCCACCACTTGGGTATGATGTTCTGAATGATATCCTTCCTCCTAGGATAGCTGCAATTCCAGAGAATCAAATCCCAAGTGCTGAGAATGTCGTTCAATCTATGAATCACTTAACGTCCCTGTTACAGCTATACAGAATGAAACAGAACATCGTATCTAATGTTGAATTGGCAAACTCCATTGCACACAACCATTCTGTTGTAACAAAGTATTCACAACCCCAAACCCCAAACATGCAAACCTTCATAGCAGAGTTCAGGAGAATGTCAGAAAGACATGAAGGGATGCTTATCCAGATCATGAATGGGCAAACTGAATTCAAGCAGCAAATGCATGATGCGGTGAATGATAAAATGAACCAGTTGAAGGAAGCCTTGGTGGGTCAATTCAGCGAACAGTTAGTCAACATTCGTGAAGAGATTCAGGTTCTGGCAGCAGAAATTAATGCTGAAATTAACGCCGGGCGTGCAAGAGCATTCAATAGCACTCGGATTGACCACCTAAAGCCCGTGTGCAAGATCAAAAGAGGACATCCTTCTGTACTCCCTCCCCCCAACCATCCATTTGCACTACAGTCATATCCAGTAGGTTCGCTTCCTCCGAATAACTTGATCCCTATTAATGCTAATGATATTGCTCACCTTACCCATGAGCAGATGGATTTTGTATTCTGGTTCTATAATGAACCAGAACTTGCGAGAGGTGCCAATAATCTGGTTCAACGTCATGATTTGTTGCAGAGTTATCTGAGGGCATAAGGATTGGTAAGTTTGTTCTTCTTTAAAGGCTTAATGATTGTAATGTAGTTATTGAATAAACTATATTACAAGTAATAAACCTGAGTTTTTTTTCCATCTGGAAGTGTATTAATTTGGGCAAAATTTAAACAATTTAATAAAAAACTAATAATCTTTTACCTTTTAATGTAGTTCATTTTCATCCTACCTTTTTTGCCTGATCTGATTAATTATGTTTTCATTTGTTCTGCCCCTGTATACTTTATAAAATTCTAATAAAATTATTTTTTTTGGATTTTCATGCATTTGGCTATTGTCTCTTATAGGTGTTCTGCTGCAATCTATGGATGGGATGGGACTCAACTGCTGCCTCTGTTTTCTGTTTGATATTTCTTCTCCAAGTCGTTTTCCCTTTATTGAATAGTAATTGGATGAGTAGTCAAGACTGAATAGTATTTGGTATTGGATGAACAGCCATATTATGAATATTTGTTAGTTTAATGAAGATACATGGTCAAGATAGGTACAGATTAGTATTACTCTGCTAGTTTTACAAATGATATCATTTAGTGTTTATGTGCACTAGTCAAAATTGGACACCGAAGAGCATACGGTGTCCAATCAAGTATTCAAACTCAAGCTAGATACTGTGAGTTTGGTAAATAGTATGGTGAGTTTGGTAAATAGTATGGCCCGTATTTTGGTAAATGTGCCTAGTTGTGGATAAATGTGTCCATTTGGATTCAGTTTGAATACTTCAAATGTACACCATATGGTATTCTGATCAAAAAAATTAAACAAGGTCAATTGGTTCTTTGTAATTCATTTTAACATCATCTTCATTTAATTTCCAATTTTCATAGGATTAAATGATTTGTGATGAACAAACTGACATTACGGTAGGAAAACTTTAAATTTTCCATTTACAAATGCAAAAATACTTTTTTATGCATCCAGTTACTTGATACGATAATAATTTGTGATGTTATTAACATCCCTAATATTTATATATAAGAATTATAAATTCTATTCATATACTTTTGAAGAATTATGCATATATGTATATATACTTCATCTTTGTTGTTTTGTTTATTATACTTAATAAACTGAATTAATTCTATTAAAAACTTCTTATATATTAAGAACCCTTATCTTTGCCACTGATATTGGCTCATGTTTACTAGGTTGGCTTCTAAAATCTCTTTGGGCTTTCTTGATTGGTATTTTGATATCTATGCTATGTTCTTTGAACTTGTGCTTATACACTACTGAGATAGAAGTTTTTCATTTGGATGGAGTCATTTAAGCCATGTTTGAAAAATGTAAATTCGTAGTGACTTGGATAAAAGCTTAATTTGTTCACTCTTCTGCAGCCAAGTGCGAGGAAAACAATATGAAAAATGTAAATTCTTTTTTCGTAGGTGAATATTTTTGAGAAAGATTAGCAATCTATTTTTGTTTACTTTTCTACCATGAAGTATGAGGAAGAATCTGTCGTGGAAGAGGATAAGAAGAATTAAAATCTACTTGCTTCAGTTTTCCATGGATAAACTATGACTCCTTTACCAACTAGAACTGGGCTTGAAAAAAGTACCCTACAACAGCCAAATAAAAATGACTCCTTCAACCATTTCACTAGAAATCTAGAATATGTAAGACCAGATAGTTTTACAACCAATATTATCTGAATTCTTCGTTTGTATTTAAGCTAACAAACAGAGCATATTGTTGTATACAAAAACAGTTCACAATTACCAGTTTGGAAAACCCCAGCACACACTTGTTATAGTTTCTTTTTAAAGGATACACACTTCTTATTGTTGAAATTACAAATTTAAGTTTCCAGGTTGAAAAATACAATAAACACAGTTTTATGCTCCAGATTATAAAATTATACGTATAATGTTATATACTCCGTACTTGAGTAGAATAGAGTATATACTATATAGTCAGGGGCGGATACAGGAATGAGGGGTGGGGTGGGCTAAACAATAAAAAATTTCCTTACTGCATACAAAAAGGTTTAGCTTAGGACCGATAGTTATTGAACTGAGTTTTTTTTTCGAACTACACGAGTTCGATCGTGATTTCGAATTTAATTTAATGACCAAATCTTAATGAGCTTCAATCTCGAACACGGGCTAAATTTTAGTTTAAATAGTTTGTTTTTACAAAAAAAAAGCGGCCGTTATTTTTTTGAGTTTGAATAGTTATTCAAGCTAAATTCGAGCATAGTCATGTTCAGTTTGATCAGGACTCGAGCATATTGATAACTTATAAATTATAGAAACAAACTATATACTACCTCCGCCCACTTTTATTAAGACTAATTTGACTTTTCAAGTCAAAGAAGTTAAACTCTGAATGACTATATATTTATACAGTAAAATTGATAATATGAAAATGAAATGGAAATGTTCTTTGTTAAAAAGTTTATCATAAAAGTATAAATTTAGTAAGTTTCACATTAATACATGAGTTAAAATGATGGATCAAAGTTTACCATCTTTGACTAAAGAGTCAAAGATGGCTAAATAAAACGAGATGGAGGTAGTATATCTAAAATTTAAACGTTTTTAGTGTGATTTATAATTTTATTATTGATTATTAAAGATTTTAGTATTTATCTATATGAATTAAAATACTTCTATAAAAGTATAAACCTAACAAGTAAAAATAGTCGATGTACATAAACTAATAAGTATTCCCAATTTTAAAATTGAATTGAGATTTTGAATCCGTTCTTACATGCCTAAACAGTAAATGCATCGTTCTCTATTCTTTAATTGCATAATAAATAAATCATTTTCTAATCTTTAATTCTATCTTTAATCATTATAAATTTATAATAAATAAAAACTATTTTACAATCTACTGAAAAAATTCAATTAATAATCAAATAGAATTACAAAGTTGGTAGGCTTGGGCTGGGCTAGACATTAATTTTGAGGTGGGCTGGAAATTAAACCTATACCTATAATAATAAAAATAAATTGGGCTGGGCTGGAGCCCACCCCTGCCCCAACATAGATCCGCCCATGTATATAGTTGTATACAAACTATAGCTGTATACAAACTAGGGTTGTATACGAATCAAATAATTTTTGTTACATTCGGGATTTGTATTCGTATAAGGCGATTCGAATTCGAAAAATTCAAATTCAAATACGAATACTAAAAGTGATTCGAATTGTTATCAAATACAAATACGAATATCAGTATATTCGATTCGAATGTTAATTAATTATATTCGATTAATAATAGTGATAATAGTAATAGTAATAGTAATAACAATAGTAGTAGTAATAATACTATAATAACTTTTAAAAGCTAGTTATACCTTCGAAGTGCAGCCTATAAACAGAAGTATCATGAGGGTTATAAACAAAACAAAAAATTTTATTTCGATTTGCGATTTTGATTCATAAAGAAAAATGTAATGTTACAAAGTTCACTTTAGTACTTTGTGCAAAACCTAAAAATGCACCGATCCATTAAATTTTAAACCATAGCATGCATTCATAACATAAAAGATAGGGAAAAGTTGTTTTAAAGTGATATTTGACTAATATTTAACTTATGATCAAATCGATTCGATATTCGTATATGATTCGTTAAATATTCGTATTGTTAAATAAATACAAATACAAATCGAAAATAATATTCGTTTCATATTCGAATTCGAATTCGGAAAAATTAAACAAATACAAATAAAAAATCACAATATTCGACTCGATTTGATTCGTTTACAACCCTAATACAAACACAATTCACTACTCCGTATTATATAATACTCCATACGCCCATACTTAAGATTAAATACGGAGGAGGCGGGTAATTGTAAGTCATATGATGTATGGGCAAGTGTCCATATTTAATACGTAGGTATATCTAGGGATGGACCTGGTCCGGTTCTGGTTCCGGGCCGGGCCCGGGCGGGCTTTTTTCCCGGTTACATGGGCCCGGAACCGGCCCGGGTTGATACCGGGTCCGGGCCTAACCGTTCCGGGCCCGGTTCAATGTTTAATTTTTTTGGCTTTCTTGTTATCCCCTGACCCCCCCCCCACCCCCCAAACCTCCCCAAAACACCCAGCCCTACAGCCCCTACCCTAGGAAAAGAAAAAAAAATTGAAAAAAAAATGAACCGAGCCCGGCCGGAACCGCCCGGGCCGGTTCAACAAAAAGAGGGCCCAAGCCCGGCCCGCCCGAACCGCCCACACGGGTAAAAGCCCGGAACCGGCCAACCGTTCCCGGTCCGGGCCCGCACAGTGGCGGGCAGGGCCGGTTCCGGGCCGGCCCGGTTGAGTCCATCCCTAGGTATATCTCTGTATATAGCCTTTCTGATGTATCCAAAATATACCCCTTTTAAGGGTCTGTTTGCAACAGCTTCTGCTTTTAAAAAAGTGCTTTTTTTAATGAAATGGAGAGAAGTGATTAAATAAAAGTTGATAGTGTTTGAGAAAAAAGTGATTTTGAAAAGTAAAAGTGGGTAGTGTTTGGTAAAATAAGTGCTTTTTGTGTTATAGAAAAAGTAAAAGCACTTTTGACGCGGAAGCCGAGGAAAATAAAAGTTGTAGTGTTTGGGAAAATAAGTGCTTTTTTAAAGCCAAAAGCTGAGAAGTGCTTTTTTAAAAGTAGTTGCAAACCAACCCTAAGTATTGGGTAAGACTGCAAGGGTCCAACATTAAAAGGTCTGTATTTTATTTTACTTTTTTAAAAATAACAAATTAGGCCATGTTTTATCCAAATTTTAATGATAAAATTGTTGGCTTCATTATATTTATATTTATTATAAATTTTATTTTAATTATTAAAATGTATAATGATAAAAATAAAATGAATAAATTCATATCATATATTTATCTTAATAATTTTTTAAGATAGATGTAATTCTTTTTTGTGTACAAAAATTGGTGATCAAAATGATCAGGAAGTTCCGTGGCCTCATCACAACAAATCATCTAACGTTTTCATCAAAATGAAGATGGGGAAAAACTATCACACTATGGATGTTGTTTACAAGTTTCAAAATATTTAGGTGCCGTTTGGTAACGCCCTTTTTCGGCTTATCAAGCTTATCAGCCAACTTTTCCACCAACACGTAATTTTTGCTTTAGCGCCCTGAATTGTGTAATAATCAGAAAAAGTAAGGCTGAAGTTACTTTTCTGCCTGTATTGGTTGATGTTACTGTAGATGATCATTGTAGCTATTTATACATATATTTTTTTCTTTATTTTGTTAATAAAATATATTTTAAAAATATTGTTTTCTTAAATCAGCAGAATCAGCCAATGCAGCCACTTCAGCCAGAACTTCAGAAATTTCAGCAGAATCAGCCAAACCAGCCGATTTTCCTTCTACCAAACGAGCTCTTAGTGTTTGTGAATTTTATTGTATATATGCTTTATTTTTCCCTTATTCTATAAAAGGAATTGTAACAATTATGACTCATAAGTATTTGTCCCTTGATAATAATTATATGTGTATCACAGCTATACGCTTTGCATTCATTCACTCATTAACTAATAGTGTTAATATATGTCCCGTGCATCGCACGGGTGAAAATCTAGTTATATGAAAAATAGTGAGCTAAATTTGACTTCTATGATGATAATGTGTGATATGCATGTTTCACTCACCCGTTTTAATAGTGTAAATGGACTATAATGGTATTATTGCTTCTTTGACATATATTTTAGTAGCAAATATAGATACATGATTATTACATGTTATATTATAGTACCACTCTTCATTGCTGAGCGTGTAGTTTTTTCTACACGTAGGACACGTAGGTGAATAAGAGATTCAAGTTGGAGCCTGGGACGACGAGACATCTGGAGAGTACGACAATGTAGTTGTTTTTATTTCCATGTTTTAAGTTGGTACAACCAACAATTCTTAAAAATAAATATTGTATTATTTTGGTTCCAAAATTTTATTATTCATACCTCAAATCAAGTTTTCTTGTGACATGTTCGTCAATAAAGCGATTATGATTA